AGAATAAAGATGAAAATAATAATGACGATAATGATAGCAATAATAGTAATAATGAGAACAATAATGATATTGATAATGATAATAATAATGATAATAACAATAATAATAATAATAATAATAATAATAACAATAATGATAATGATATATATATTATAATAATCATAACAATAATCATAATGATAATCTCAGTGATGATAATCATAATAATCATAATTATGATAATGATAATAATAATAATCATGATGATAATAATAATAATAATAATAATAATAATAATAATAATGATGATAATGATAATGATGATGATGATAATGATAAAGATAATGATAATAACGATGATAGTAATAATAGCAATAATAATAGTAATGATAATAATAATAATAATGATAATAATAATAATAATAATAATAATAATAATGATAATAATAATAATAATAATAATAATAATAACAACAATAATAATAATAACAATAATAATAATTATAATAATAATAACAATAATGATAATGATAACAATAATACATAAAAATGATAATGGTAATAGCAACGATGATGACAAAATAATAGTCATTAACAGAACTAATAAGCACAAGTAAGATGCCTCTTTCGTTACGTATAGGTCGTTTTGGTAAAGGACCAGCCCTTATTTTGCCCGTCATTTTGTTACCTTTATTTCCGCCGTTGTAATTGAAGAAATCCTTCTACAGACAATACTGTAACTGTAACTAAGAACTAGTGAATTGCATGCACCATGCTAAAACAACTTACCTTTTTTTCGTGTGTACTTTTGGTCAGTTTTTTTTTTATCGAATAATTATTTTCTTTGAATGTATGTTGATTTTTGGTTTTGTTGGAGGAGAAATACATATTTCATATATCTGAAATGAACGCGTATCCTAAAAGCAATGAAAATGTGTGTCATGTTTCAGTAAAACCCCTTTTTTTCTTTTATTTTTTCTTGTTTTTTTTTGGGGGGGAGTGGGGGAATAAAACAAAAAATATTATTCTAAACACTCTATACATTTTTTTTCTATGATTATATAAGAAGTAAATAATTATCCATGTATATTTATATTGCAAATATATACGACGGTGTCAGAAACCGAGCTAATGACAGAGATGAGGGGAAAGGAGAGAGGGAGGAAGAGGGAGAAAGATAGAGGAAGCAGAAGCACAAAAAAGGAAGCAATTAAAGAAAAAAAATGGAGAGAAAGAGAGAGAGATTGAGATGGAGATAGAGAGAAAGAGAGAAAGAGAGAGAGAGAGAGAGAGAGAGAGAGAGAGAGAGAGAGAGAGAGAGAGAGAGAGAGAGAGAGAGAGAGAGAGAGAGAGAGACAGAGAGAGAGAGAGAGAGAGAGACAGAGAGACAGAGACAGAGACAGAGACAGAGACAGACAGACAGACAGAGGCAGAGATACAGAGGTTGTCTGTCTATCTCAGAGACAGACAGACAGAACAAATAGATACAGCTCATAGGGGAGAAAGATTAAACGTAACCTTACACTCTATAATCTCATTTAAACTGTCTACGTATAAAATATATATCAGTTGCAGACATAATTATCCGTATTTAAGGAAATCTATCTAAAAAAAAAACTATACTGAAAGTTTTACATTTTAGAAAATAATGAAAAAATACTACTATTCACACCATAACTAGCAAAAGCCTTATATATACGCATCTATATTATACATTCTACATGAAAAGTTATCTTACATAAATGCACAACGCTTATATAGATAAACATACTTAATGAATACTGTTGTTTTGACATGTATAACTGTACAGTTGTCTTAGTATTCAATCAAGAAAATATTAGTCATGTTATGATACGGAGAATACTTTATACATTTTATAATCATTTTTTTCTAAGTTATTTCGTTTACTCTTCTTTCTTACTTTTGTGACAATTCCTACATTTTCGTTTTCTTTAATATTCTTTACAGATAATAGGGAAACATGAAATTAAAATGATCTTAGACTAGTTTTTTGCATGTTGTGTTTTCAGATATTTTTTACTTACACATTGAAAATTCTGGTCATCATCGTCTTAAATAAATGAATAAATGAATAAATAAATAAATAGGTTAAGTATTCAACTACCTAATTAATAATAAATAGTAGACATATGAATGAATAAATAAATAAATAAGCTGAAAGAACATCAATGATAAAATAATATAAAAACAATTATTCCATTCGCAATCATTGTATTCCTGTTCTTTCCCCTGTGCAGTTGGCTCTCCAAAATAATAATAAAAATAACAAAACTCCTCTTAAATAAAATAAAAAAATAAAATAAAGTAGAAAAAATATTAGCCGATAAACCAATACATCTACACCAATCTGCACAAACATCGCCTCCTTTATTTCCTATCCGAGTAACCGTAGTTGGCGCCATAAGACCCGTAGGTAAAGAGCGGTTCCTCCGGAGTCGACGGCGCCTTTTTCCTGACTGGCTTCGTGCTGCCCGAACACTTCATGATGAATCGGACTTCGCTGCCCAGTTCGTCGCAGAAGGACGCCTTGGGGAGGGAGGGAGAGAGCGGGGTTATTATTGTTGTTTCAATTTTCGTTTGGTTGTTTTTCTTAAAGGGATGGGGGGGGGGGGGGTATTATTGTTGTTTCAATTTTCGTTTGGTTGTTTTTCTTAAGGGGATTTGGGGAGGGGAGGGAGGGGGAAGAGCGGGGTTATTATCATTGTTTCAATTTTCGTTTGGTTGTTTTTCTTAAAGGGATTTGGGGGGGGAGAGGGGGAGAGCGAGGTTATTATCATTGTTTCAATTTTCGTTTGGTTGTTTTTCTTAAAGGGATTTGGGGGGGGAGAGGGGGAGAGCGAGGTTATTATTATTGTTTCAATTTTCGTTTGGTTATTTTTTTTAAGGGTATGGGGGGAGGGGGGAGGGAGCGGGGTTATTATTAATTTTCATTTTCGTCTGGTTATTTTTCTTAAAGGGATGGGGGGGGAGGGGGGAGAGAGCAGGGTTATTATTAATTTTCATTTGGTTATTTTTCTTAAAGGGACGGTGGGGGGAGTGGGGTTGTTATTATGTTTCAATTTTCGTTTGTTTATTTTTCTTGCTTGTTTGTTTGTTTGTTTGTCTAAGAGTGATTTAGCAAAGAAGGACACAAGAACATCAAGACACAGTTTGTCATTTCTAATCTGGTAAGAAATTTTGGATCTTTTATTTTTATTTATTTTATTTTACATATTTATGTATTTATTTGCTATATATAGATGTTGGTGTGGAATTAGAAATTATTTTGACCTTTGTGCCTTTATTCAATTCTTTCGCTCATTATCTTTTTTATCTTTTTTATTTATTTATTTATTTATTTATTTATTTTCGGGGGGTGCATTGTAAAGACATCAATTTTTCTTTTTTGGGGGGGTATGTTGGTGGGGTCATGTTGGCAAAGATATGCTAGTGGGGCTATTTATTTAACGGTTATTATTAAAATATCTTTTTATTTATTCATTTATTTATGGGATGAGTATGGCGGAATGTGAAACTAAACTAAACAATATTTAAGGTGTGGGGAATGTTGTGGTATTCATCATTAATTTCTTTTTCATTATTATCAATCTTCATCTTATTCTAATATACCATTGTTAGGCAGACTACCGGAATAAGTAATTATTTTCCCATGGTAATAATAAAACAACAACACCACCACCACTAACAGCAGCAATAACAACAACAACAATAACAACAACAGCAAGAACAACAAAAACAGCAACATCATCGTTAACAACGACAACAATAACAACAACAACAGCAACATCAACATCAAACAACAACAAATCATTATCATCAACAACAACAGCCACAAAAGCTGCAACAACAAGAACAATAGCAATAATGATTATAATAGAAATCCCTTCACGTTCACCGGTACTAAATAAGTAAACCCAAGAATGAAATAATTAATTTATTGCTATCTACTTACCCATCTACCTACCTACCTACTTACCCATGCATCTGTCTACTCATCTATCTATCCATTTGAATATCTATCTGTTTACATATCTACCTATCTTTCTATCTACCTATCCACCTATTCAGCTAAATATCATCTATCTATTTACATAAAGCCATATATATCTATCATTCTATATAAAAACAGTACCGAAAAAAACGAAATCATAGGCACACCAACATAGACCAACCAACATGACCACCAAGAAAGACAATTAATATGGACCTACCAACATACCCTGACCGACTTGTCCTTACCAACATGGACTCACCAACATGGGCCTATGAACTTGATTCCATCACCAACATTCTATCAACATAACTTCACCAACATGCGCCCAATATCAGAGACCCAAGATCGCACCTACATATCCTCACCAACCTTGCTTCTCCAATATATCCACACCAACATTACTTCTCCTATATATCCTCACCAACTTTACTTCACCATATCCTCACCTACATATCTTCACCAACATTATTTCTCCAACATATCCTCACCAACACAACCCCACCAACATTAGTTCTCCTACACATCCTTACCAACATTACTTCTCCAACATATCCCCACCAACATCACCCCCACCAAATATAAGCCTCCAAACAAATCACCTTATCAACAGCGAAGCAATAACCCCACCAACATTACTTCTCCAACATATCCTCACCAACACAACCCCACCAACATATCCTCACCACCATTACTCCTCCAACATAATCCCACCAACGTCACCCCACACCAAAACAAAAACTCCGAACAAATCATCCTACCAACAGCGAAGCCAACCCAATCCCATCCTTCCCTCCCTCCCTCCCTCCCCTCCCTTCCCTCCCTTCCCTCCCTCCCATCCAACACTCACCGTCTCGTCCGTGGCCAACTCGCGAGCATTCCACAGGAACTCGCAGATGGCCACCAGAGCCGCGATGCCCATGCCGCCGATGAGGACCACGAACACGCCGCCCACGTTGGACAGTCCGAGTTCATTGGCTCCTGAAGACTTGGCTGAAGAGGCTTCCCG